TGGTGCTCCAGGCGGCTATTGACGAAGAGCTGGCGAACGGTGGTGAAAGGTGGATGGAGGCGGTACTGCGGCTGCCATACATAATGGATTCCTAAATGAGACTGCCGTATATATCGGTCACGTCAGACAGCTTTAGTCATGACATTTCAGAGCTAGTGTTGCCTGCGTGGTTTCCCTTTGTGTGTTGGGACTTGGTGGTTGTGGTGGTGATGGTGGTGGTGATGTGGGAACGTCGAGCATTGGAGCCCGATATGAGTTTCTTCCTTCCCGAGGAGAGCCCTTCATGCCCCGGGGTGGGTTTGGGAATTGTGGCTGCTGTGCGATGCGTGTGCGTGTGTGACGGGTCTGTTGTGTAGGTCGGTGAGTATCGGTGTAGGAGATCGTCCTTTGCGGTTTGGCCGGACCTGCGCCAGGGGGGGCTTGGGGGTGCGGACTGTCGGTGAGACGATGTGGATGATGCAGCCCGGGCTGGAGACCCTCTGCTGCAAGAAGGGGATGGGCGGAGGATTTCATTGGCGTGTCTCGTGCCGGTTTGTCCGTCTGTCTGTCTGCAGATGGGTGCTAGCGCTTGTATATATATGTGAATGTACATGCGTTGTAGCATAATCGCTATTCCGTTTTGGATCTTTTTAGCAGGATCTTTTTAGTCTGCATATCGATGGTGGGTACAGTCAGGTTTGTGGGGAAAACGGTGTCGCGATCTTTTAAAATTTGAATAGGTTTTGAGCGAACGTGTCTTGTCTCTTACCTCTCAACGCTGAGCGAGGTCCACCATACGTAATTTCTGAGAGCCTAGTGCCTGTGTGCCTGGGAACCCAGTCTTCAACGGAACTCTGGTATGGCTTGGTTGGCCTGTCCGCCATTCGCTGTGTTGCACAGACAGGCTGGCAGGCGGAATGCAGTACAAGGGTGCAAATCCTGGCGCGGGGCGTTTGTGCCGTGTTGGGTCGTGGGGACGTGTGCATGCTATGCAACCAACTAAAGGAATGTTGCAGACATAATGACACAGCGCAAACTAACGTAACGATGTGGGGATGAGAATGTTGGTGGGAGGAGTCTGCGTGTGTTAAAGCACGTATGCTTGTAAGGAGGGGGCGGAAAATAGAATACGATGTACGTGCTGCTGCCGCTATTTGCTTGCAATGGTGACAAGTCTGCCACCTTCCCTAATAGTACTAACTGGGCTGGGTAATCGGCCTTTTATTTACATTTCGTAGTTAGCCAGAAAGTTCAATGTGGGATTGTTATGTGGTGTGAAGTTTGGTCGGATCTATCATTCAATGGACCCACCATCGGTTTGCCCTCCGCTAATAGGTCAAGGGTCTCCACCCGTTAGGAACATGACCGTACTTGAACAGGATCTGTTCTATAGGTCATACACCTGTCTGTGTTCTTTAACTCAGACAAGCTCCTCAACCCAGACGATGAGACGGAGTTCCTGCACCTGAGCGCAACGTAAGGCCGCAGTGGCCGTGCCGCTGGCACGGACGCGCGGCTCTGGATGAACGTCCCTCCGAGCCACATTCCGCCGGCAGGGATGGTGCCTGGGACATTCAGATGGGTTCGACTGAACTTTTCTTCTTAACCTTTTCTACATGTTCACAATAGTTCTCTAAAGTTATATAAGGAAGGTGTGTCATTCTCACTGATCATATCCTAGGACGTGTCTCTCGCTCATGCGCTCACACAAAGAAGTGTCCGGTAGTCTGCGGCTATCTGCGCTTCCTTCCTACAGAAGTATGTTTCATGGGGCCCCAGTTCCCCAGGCCCCACGCCAAGAATTGCACTCCATCCTCCCTGCCCTGCATCTTGTGCTGTGGCCCTCCCTGGATCTCTGCCCCAATCCGCGGCAAGAACACGATGTACACAATGCCCGCCGCGAAACTCCCCGCACGCCTCAACCACGTACGTGCCAGGGCATACTTGAGTACTTGCCGCCGCGGGATTTACTCTTAACTGCTGTGCCTGGAGCCATACATACACGTATCTTATTTGGATGATGCTTGAACTCCCGCTTCCCCACAGCAGCAAGACCAGGGTGGAATTCAGTTTCCCTTCCCTTCTAACTAAAAATTGAACTAATAATGCAACTAATGCTGCGCCACAGAGGCGCTCCACTCGCGACCAGCAATAATGTGGATTCGAACACGGTGGCCGCAGGAAGCGCCAGAAGGCGGTTGGGAACCGAGCTACCTTGCTTTGCGGCCCAACTCCGGGTCCATGCTGCCTGCAAGGTGCAGGCGAAAATCCCCTAACCGACGACAACCCTCGGTCTGCACCGGATGAGTGGTTGTTCATCCGCACGTGCACGTCCGCAACATACTCCTGTTGCCAGATGCATCATGTCTTGCAGATCAATCCCCCATAATTTACAAAACTCTTCGAAGGTTCTAAACTTTACACATGCGCTACAACAACTATGTGAAAGGTTGCAACGCGCATAACGTTCGAATTTTTCATTTGTATGGTGCACTCAGTCACAGTTCCAATGATGATCCCAAATTGCCGGACCAAGTTAGCAGCGCCGCGCCACCACAACTTGCACACTGTTGCAGACTAAAACCGCCAAAGGAAGCTTTACACCTACTACCCCGTAGCAACCAGTGTAACGACACAACTGATGGGGGGCCACCCAGCTCAAGACTTGAGAGATAACATTAACAACAAGGCTGACCTCGAGCTTCCCCCTTGGCGAGAGGAACACACTCGCGAAATTCGTCGCACTTCCGCCTGAATGTCAATTGGCTGGGCGCCATCCGTCGCCGGCTGAACTCTCCCTGGCTGCAGTGTTTGTGTACCGATCATCCTTCAAGCAACACGCGATACATGAAGTGCCTGGTTTACGGGGCCTCGCAAGACCAGTCCGAGGACCGCTGCTCGACCAAGCCTCCGGACCGGGATGCTGTCCTGCAAGGTACAAATCCTTGAGCCCTCACAGGAACCTGTCTCCGCAGCGACATGGTAGCGGCGGGCGACGGGGCAATACACCACTGGCACCCCTCCCCTCCCCTCTCCTCCCCTCCCCTCCCGGTGTATCTCCCGCCCGGGTCGTCAAACTTCACATCATGGCAACCTTCCTGGAACTCCTCCTTTCCAAGAGGAGATGGCACATGCATGCTCCCTGCTGATAACCGCACCGCGCACACGTCGAAAGCGCTTATTACACCACAGCCCCCTCCAGGGGCCCCTCCAAGAGCGGTCTTCCTCAGGTTGCTGTGCTGCTGCTCAACACGGTCATCCAACCCCCGCGGCCCCCTCGACCCGGAAGGATCCTGTAGCCTTTGCGGGCTCATACTCGCACGCGCCGCGTTTCGGAGCCGCCTGGCTGCCGCGAGGTAACTAACTAATACCGGCATCTTCTCCAAACATGCAGCCACTGAAGAGCGGTTCCGGGGCTGCTGCCCGCTTCTGTTGTTGTTGTTGTTGCTGCTGCTGCTGCTGCAACAGTTTACTGCTTGGCGGCAGCCAGGCGGTCGGCCACGTTCTTCCAGTTGACCACGTTCCAAATGGCCTTCAGGTAGTCGGGACGAACGTTCTTGTACTGCAAGTAGTAGGCGTGCTCCCAGACGTCCACCCCAAGCAGTGGGACCAGGCCCTTCAAAAGAGGAGAGCCGAAGTGAAGAGCGCCGCAGAAGCAGCCGCGGCAAAGCCGCAGCAGGACAAGGTTGAGAGAAGGACGCGCACGGGCAAGCGGGGAAAGATGAAGGATGAAGACATCTGTAATGTAATGTAATGTTACAGAGTGGGAGGCTTCTGGGCCGCTTTATCACATGAAGACATCTGGATGATGGTGAGCAGCGCCGTGTTTGTGTGCACTCAAGGAATCGCTGTGCTTGTGCTCGTCGCCGGTTGCGACCGCATCGGCCATCCCCACCCTACCACTCTACCAGGTTGTAGAATAAGATAACTTCCGCTCAACCCCACAAACTGGAGAAGCCCCAGGGCAGGTGTGCCGCTTTATGTACTGATGCAACACGGAACTGGGTCACGCAGGCAAAGGGCAACACTGCTGTGCATGTCCGGGTCGTGCTTGCTTCATTGAATTTCCAAGCCTACAATATTTGAAGGCGTGTGTTTGCAACAACGAGCGCTTGACAGGTCCTGGCCCTCGCACTGTCGAATGCCTGCAGCTCACGCACAAGCCCGAATTCCATCCTCCCCCACCAGGTGCAAAATTCCATCCCCTACCGAATGAACCCGCCAGGTAATCCCCCCTACAGACAACCGCCGTTTGCAAATGTCACGCCGCTTCCATTCCATTTTGGCCCATTGCTTTAGCAGCGAATAGGCTGCTGGCTACCAGACTGCGCCCGCCCTGCTACTTGGCCGCACTTATTGAATGACAGTGAATCTAAGGCAATGTGTCGACGACGCGGTTCTGTAAAAATAACTTTTTCTGCAGCAGCAAAGGGGCAGCAGAGTGGACCTTAGCTCACCGTAACGCTAAGAGGGTCCTGGTTCGGCATGGTGGTGATCTCCAGCCGCCCAGTGCCCTTGTTGTAGCCCAGCCAGCCCCAGCCGGAGCCCTGTGCAAGAAGAAGGTGGGGACGAGGCGATAACAAACAGCAGGGGATGGTCATGCCACGACGTGTGCAGGGCGCTGCGTGACACACAGGAGTCGGAATGCGTTTTTGGTAACCAATTCACGAGACATAGCATGTACACAGAGGCAGCGGGAGTTTATGCGGATAGAATCGTCCTTGTTCTCTTGTTGCCTGTTAAGACGCCGGCATGTGGGGAAAGTTGTGTCAGGTGCTAAGGTTGGGAACTGATGGAATCATGGTTGTTTGACGGTTATACACGGCCCCCTCTGCATGCAACAAAGTACCAGGCATGGGGATACTACCACACCTGCACGGCGGCGGTCTGTGCGTTGAAGGTGCTGATGAAGCTGTCCAGAGACTTCCACTGCGCCTCGATCATGGTTTTCAGCTCACCCGACGGAGGCTCAAAGTCCTACAGTCGTTATTTGCAGAGCGTAGCACGAAGGTTATATCGCTCCGTCGAAGCCTATTTAGTAGTTACCAATAACCATCAAGACCTTCGCACCTTCGCCGGGATTAGGTTGGTCCAAAAGATGTCGTGGTTGATGTGGCCTGAAGACATCGACAATTGCAATTTTTTTGGAAATCGAATCACGAAGCTGTGCGCAAGTACTGAACTTACCACCTCCGTTGAACTTGATGGCACCTTGTAGTGTGATAAGCTTTGAGACATCGCCCTTAGCCTCTGCTTCAGCTTGCTGCTCAAGAGCTTTGTTAAGGTTTGCCACGTACGCGGCATGGTGCTTGGCGTGATGCAACTCCATGATGTGCCCCGAAATGTAGGGCTCAAGCGCGCCATAGCTGTAAGGAAGGTCCGGCAGCTTAACGGTACATATTGACCGCGTCATGCCCGGAGCCGCGCTGAGCCCCTCACGAGCAGCTGCCAAGAGACCGCGTGCCAGCATTTCTTTGGCAGCACCTTTACGATTTTATTCGGAGATAGTGCAAAATATTGAATACTCGATTTCCAAAGGCTGCTAAAGGGATTCTCAGTTGGGTTCATGACTGTAATATCTACTATTTTGTTAACTGCCGGGTATTTCGTACAACGGTCGCTTATTAGCAAAGATGCCAACGTGCAACCCACACGCAGTCTATATTGCGAGCTCCACCTTGTAATAACGCTTGGACGTACTGGAAAAATATGTCGCGGGACATACTGAGGAAAATGTCATGAGCTTGGCGTCGAATGAACAATAAAACCAATCGCACGGACAGCCGGCTCCAGACGTTAAGCGTCCGTGGAGCGGTCCAACCAACTTCTCCGCCAGCGCCTTATTCACCAATCCAACATCGTAGACAATATCTATTTTACACCAGCTAGCAGGTACAATTATCAGACGAGAAGATGTACCCGGCCAAGCATGAACCAGTAACCAGCCCGGCGACCCTGCCGACCTACTAAAAAGCACTTCCCTTACTCCCTTACTGCACTGGTGTTAGCATTTATGGTTCTGTTATTAGTTCACACGGTTAACATCTAAGAAACACAGCAGACGCAACATGTCGTCTTTTCAACTTAATTGTTCAGTAACGTTGATTTCACTGCACATACTTGGAGACCCATCTGCATGGATGCTGCACCCGTAGGCATGTTGCTTGTCTTTGCTTGCGTGGCACCGGTGATCCGGTCGAACCCACTGAAACATGATTCCTTCGTTTTGGCTGTGGGCTAGGCTAGAGGCGCACACCACGGAGAAGTGTCACTGTGCAGTGGGACGTTGGTGCTGCTCGTGATTTGCAGCAGATGAGGACGGGGTGGACGGAAACACAGAGAGGGTTGTTTATCACCAGTTGCCCGCCAACCTTGGTGAGAGATTCCTGGGTAGCCAGCCGCTATATACGCAGGTCACAGCCTGCATACCCCACGTCTTTCCGCTCGAAGATGGGAAAGCTCGCCGTACTAACGGCTTGCATCCCGTACATCGATGAGCGGAGCCGTCTGCGAGCCAAAGAAAGAATAAATTGCTGATAATCTGCTTATGCATGTCGGTGTGTGACAGCTGCAAAGATGATATCCTCCGCACGCTACCATCCGGTAGTTGATCGCGTATGCAGCACAGAGCCAGGAAGTGAAACAAGTAGGAAGGAGGCTCGCGATGAAATTGTTGATGCCATTAACGGAAGAAGTTTATCAATTCTTGATCTGGTAGGCTGGAAACCAACTGCTTCGTAGTCGGCGAAACGGCGAGACGCCGAGCAGCGCAGTTTGAACGCCTCCAACTCATAACTCCATAACGTTTTTTCTCACTATAGGTAATCCTGCTGGCAGGGCCGCTGACATCACCCGAGAAGGAGGCGCGGGAGAATGGCACCCGGCTGCTTGGAGAGGTGTGCAGGAGCATATGCGAAGAAGATTTTGCCATAAGTTTAAATCAACTTCCCGAACCTTGTCTTAGAAGCTGAAGGACTTTGGTATCTTGCTCCTCTCGGAACTCTGGCCTATTTGCCCGTACGTAGGCACTCCTGCTATGTCTAGGATCCCGAAAATTCTGATTCGGGAATTCTCATTCTTCATCAGCACATCGAAACCCCCGTTGTAACTTGTAACTGAGATTGCTTTCACGCACATTTTCAGAACCTCTTCCTGTTGAAGCCCTCGCCTGTTTACCGCGGCCCAATCCCCCGCCGCAACCTGGATGGCTAGGTGGTGGGTCGCTGCAGGCCTGTGTTGGGGGAGGTCGAGCTGCATAAGCTTGCGGAGTTTCTGGCGGCTCGACTTAAGGACTGGTAGGGGGTTCAGGGGATAAGGGTTAGGGAGTGTTGGTTGTAGGGGCACATTCGGGGGGAATTTCACGAAAATTGGGGTTAACACTTTGTGGGGGGTGTTACAGGTGGGGTCGTGATGGTCGTTGATGAGAATAACAAACGGTACATACGGTTTGGAAGGCAAGGCAGTGTGTGTGTGGTGTTTTTGTAGGAACTGGCAATATGCATAACGCAAGTGGGGGGATTTGATGAAGACGATTAGTCATTAGCAGTTCTGATCGTTTGGGGTTATCAACCGCACGAGTAGCCACTTGCACGTCGTCGGTCGGTGGTCGGCGTGTGAACTGCTTCGGAACGAGCACCGGCACCGCAACAACCTGGACATCAGGACAGGAGCCAGGGAGGGGAGAGTCCGCGGGTGCTCAGAGATTCATGGGGGGGGTTGGCTCAGGGGGAGGTTGCTCGGTGCGGCCGGGTAGCTGGTGGGTAGCTGTATGAATGCAGCCCAACGACGGGGAATGGGCGGGACGGCACGAGGGTAGTACGAGGGGATCCCAGTTTCGAGGAGGGGCAAGGTGGGGAAAAATGTTGCAAGCAGGGAAACAAGTTACAAAGGTACAAATTCCGCGCGCAAATGGGGGGGAACGTCCAAAACAGTCGGGGGAAAGGCCATGAACGGTCTCCTCCCTATTTAAGTAATACTATGATGATGGTAATAATATTAGCAATAATAATATTATTATTACAAGTTTTTACTATTATAATAATAGTATCCAAGCAACGACGGGTCTCGAGAAGGTCCCAGGGTTCCCTTAGACGCCTCCGGAGACCTTCGGCCCCCTCTCTCGCGACGTCGCTTCGCAACACACACATTCCTTGCGTTGGTTGCGCACTTCCCACTTAACAGACCCATCACCACAGGCCTTGTAATGCTGTCTGCCTGCCTGTCTCCCTGTTTGTCCGGGTGTTTCTTGCGCACGTGCTCTTTCATCCCTCTGTGCAGGCCGTGTGTGGGGGCTGCAGCAGCTGCGTGTCGCTCCCTGCTACTGCCGCCGCCGCCGCTGCCGCCAACGTCCGCCACTGACCCCGCGGTGGCACTGGGGGCGCTGCCAGGCGGCGGCGGCGGAGAGGGAGGGAGAGGAGGAGGAGCTCGACTAGGGGATGAAGGCGCGTTAATAGTAGTGGAGGCGACGGCGGAGATGGTGGGTCCAACGATGGCGTCCCTGACACATGCCTCCTCATAAAAAAAATTATTCCGCCACTCCCGTACACACCCCTACTCACGCCTCCCTACACTCCACCCATCCTCTTGGTACTGCTCATCCTTTTTAAACCTCCTCCCAACACTAAGGCAGTTCAGTCCTTGTTTCCTTGCATATTATTTTCCCTTCACCACTAATCAACATTAATTTGTTTGCTGTTTCCCCGTGCGCCTCTTCCCCCGGGGCCCCGTCGCCCATTTTTTCTTGTGTCATATGATTTCCCCCGTCCCCCTAACCCCTGCCCGCGGCCCACGGGGTTAGCTCACTCTCGTGCTTCTCGCATGTAACTCCCCTCGCTCCTCGCCCCAGTCTGCTGCATCAGTCTTTCCTTGGCATCAGCTTCACTCGCTCGTGGTTCGTCTTTCCCCCGTCGGCCCCCCCTCGGCCCCCCCTCGGCACCCCTCACATTAACGCCGGCACTTATCCGCCTTCACTTTAATGTGTTTCTTTTTTACTTTTGCTTGATTTTGGATATGTGAAATTTCCCCCGCGCGCATGCATGTTTCCTCTCAACGCGCACACATACACGCACACGCAGCTCCGCAGCGCTCAGTCATTCCGGCATGAGGAGCGAGGTGCCCTTCTGCAGCTGCTGCTGGCTGTGGTGCGAGGAGGTTGGGGCGGCCTGGCTGTGGGGCGGAGGGGGGTTCCCCTGCTGGACTGTTTCCTCGGGGCGGCGGACGGCGAGAAGGATCCGCGCTGTCTGCTGCTGGCGTTCGAGGCGCTGCGAGTGAGTGAGTGACTATGCAACACCGTACAGCCGTACAGGTACCAAAACCACACCTAGCACGTTTCTTAGAACTGGCACCTTTGCAGGTACAAGAACCCCCGGTATTAATCGGTAAGATACAACTCCAGCAACTCCAAAATATAAATTTTTGCATTTTCATGCAAATATATCATAGTTATATATTTTTTAACATTTTTTGGGTGTCAAACTTGTTGTGACGATGTCAGCGAAGGAGACCGTACACACACATATAGATATATATACAAGCACATGTACAATTTTCTCTTCATCCGTCGTTGGAGAACCAGTGCGAACCAGGTCCCGCCGTGCCCATTTTTTTCCTGTACGGCGCACTCACTGTCCGCTCACAGCGTACATCGCGGTCGGGGTGCATTCTCTCACGTCAAACAGCCCCAACCCCCTTCCCTAACTCAACCCATTCACGGAAAACCTCCTTTTCATAGTTTGTTTTTTTCCTTTCGTTTCCCCTTTTCCACACCCCGGTCCCATGCACCAGGCGCTCTGCGAGATGTACCATGCCCCGGGAGTGGATGTCACTCCGCTTCAGCAGCTGGCGGACGAGGTGGCCGACTGGGCCTCGTCGTACTTCCCCATCTCTTTCAACCCGCCGCCCTCCCTGGCGGGGACCCGTGGTGTCCCCGCCATCACCCGGCAGCAGCTGGCTGCCTCCCTGGAGCTCGCTCTGGCCTCCTCCCCCTTCCTGGCGGGGGGAGTGCTGCCGCTGATGGTGGAGAAGCTCAGCTCCACTTACCGGTGGGGGGGGGTAGTGAAGGGTTGGATTGCACGGTGGGGGCTTGGGGGAGGGAGAGCAATGAGATGCAGAAGACGGAGGAGGAGGAGGAAATGCCGGTGGGGGGTTGGGGATTGGAGGGAGTGAAGGGGGAGAGAGGGAGGGAAAGACGAACCATAAACGAGTGAGGCTGCTGCCAGGGCAAGAGTGTACCAGACGTAGGACTGACCGAAGGCGTCCGTGAAAAACGTGCGACCGACCCGACTATCCTAGTCCGGCTAGCCGACCGACGCCAACGCGATATACCGAAAAAGCTCGAACCTCCCTTTGGACTCACCTGGCCAGGCAGCAGAAGCAGCGGGCAAAGGCACATGCGAGGCAGAGAGGTGGGGGAGTTGTGAGTAGCGAGCGATAAAGACAAGAACGCATGCAAATGCCGCTGAAAGGAAGTATTAAGCTGGCTGACCGGGGAAGCTGGGGATAAGAAGCCCTAAAGAACCTATATGAAAGCGGAAGAAAACG